AAAACAACTACAAAATCAGCTGCAAAAAGATAAAAAAAATTTATAATCACTGAATGTCTCCCGTGTAAATATAATATTTAATATGTAGTTAAGAAGGTAAAATTACGGAAGTTTTATTTTAATCAATTGAATTTGGGTGGAGATTAAATTATATGAGTAAAAATTTCATAATTTAGGCATATATTTTTAAATTGTTGATTATTCTTTATAACAACGTGTGATTTTTGGGTATTATGAATGTTAGAACTTTGGCTTTTGAATGGGTCCATGGACATCAATTTATTCCAATTTATCAACATTAAAACCTTCACAACAACAACATGCGACTTTTTAATATAATGGATGGTGGAATTGCAGCTTCAAAATGAACATAATAAATATCATTGAGAATTGACTTGATATGAATTTTTTAAATAAGGGTGCTGACATATATTAGCTAATATTTTAGGGTGTGGGAGGAGAAACCGCACAATTCAAATGAACTGGTATTACGCAGTAAAACCCAATTATTTTTGTCATCATGGGCCCATTTTAAAAGCTACAGGCCTAAAGTTTTATCAGAACATCCGGTTTCTTATTATCCTTAGGAATATGGATTTAAAAAAATGTTTGATAGTGTTTCCTTTTACTTTTATATATTGTGTTGTAACCATCCTTAATGGGGTAAAAACAGTTTAAATTTGACGGCTTTATCTCAAATATATTTATAACAAGGTAATCATTCTATCATTATTGTTAAATTAATAGTTTTGTATTATATATATCTGTTTCTTATTATTAAATAAATAAATGAATGCGGATAATAGAAACAAGGTGAGCTGTTCTATATATAATTATAAATAAATAGGACACACAAAAGAAACAAGGTTGTTCTATAATTGTTGCTAAATTAATAGTTTTGTATGATATCTTTATTTACATATTTATTTATTATTTACTATTAGATAAATAGGAAAGAAACAAACAATTATTGTCAAATTAATAATTTTGTATAATATATATCTATTTCGTGGATGATAATAATTTTGTATAATATGTATATATCTATCTATTTATCTATTTCGTGGATAATGGTTGTTCTATAATTATTGTTAAATTAATGGTTATTAGATGACGTGAATAAAAATTTGCTTCCAATATCTATTTGATAAAAACTTGTATATTTTTTTATAATTGGTTAAATACTGGGCTAGCAAGAATTTCCTCGACTTTTTGTGTAATTTATTCGGGCAAATTTCGTGATAAAATCAAAATATGATCTACAAAAATCATTACCAATTTTAGAATGTCCTCCATGCTACAAATATGCAAGCCTATAAGTCTATATTAAATATGTAATAAAATAAAATAAAATTTTAATGGATAATTCCTCAAAATGACAACATGGCCGAGTGGTTAAGGCGTCAGACTTGAAATCTGATTCCCATTGGGAGCGCAGGTTCAAACCCTGCTGTTGTCGTCAAAATTCTTTTCTCTATTTATATAAAAAAGAATAATAAAAATACATTTTTTTTTTTTTAACATTGCAAACATATATTTATTAATGAATTACAGATTTTTTAATAATATAAAATTATTTTACTATAATACTAATAGTAATTATAATAATTATTTTTTTTTTTTCATGTAGTATTTTTATTAATTTTTATAATAATTCTATTGGTAGTTGGTACAGTGGTTGTAGAAGATTCCGACGGAATATTATTACTATTATATAATGGACATTTCTTGTTTGTTTTCATATGACCTAAAGCTCCACAATTTCCACATCGTCTCTAAGAAAAAGGTAATCAATTAATAACAAGCAGTAAGTAAACAAGCGATAATAATAATGATAAATGTAATTATAATTGTAAATGCTTGCCACTGTTGTTTCAGTCTTCTTTTCTTTAACGATAGATGATGCAGAAGTAACGTTACCAGCAGCAGATAATTTGGCAGCTTTTTTAGCTTCACGAACAGCCAGACGTTGCTGGCGTCTCTCTTGATTTCGTTTTAATCTAGCCAACTGATCTTGAATTCTAATTATATAATTATATTATAACAACATGAGTATTAAATATTTATTTATTTTTTTTAAAAAATTGTTAATGATTTACCTCTTTTTTAATCGTTCGTTTCTTTCTTCATCATTGGTTGGCTCCAACGTTTCAGTACTATAAAAAAATTCCATTATTATTATTGTCATCATAATTATTAAAAAAAAATAGGATGACTAAATTTTGATTTTTTTGTTCTTTACTTTAATGTTTGTTCTTCAATAACTTGTCTTTGACGAATATACGCATTAATTACTGAAGGATCAGTTATATATTCTTTTGTCCACCTTTTTTCACCATTATCTGACCTTATCTACACTCAAAAATTTTCTTTAAAGATGC